AATAATTTCAATTGTTCAGACTTTGTTCAAAGGAATGCACATGGCAATTTGTGGATTATCCAGCTGCTTGATGTATGCAGTAGAGTCAGGAATACATTTAGAATCTGTGATACTGAATAAGGAAACAGAAGATTTATTAGTGGGAAGCTAGACAGGAGCCTCAAAACGGATATGATCTTGATATTATGTAAGAAGCAGCAAGAAGCAAAATGGGAGTGCCTAACACAGGTTGAAAAAGAGACTAAGGGGAAAAAGAGAAAGCTTCCTATGATATATTTGACCTCAGCGAATCTACTGAAAAAGATGTATGCAGAAGGAGATGATGAGAACAATTAACAAAGCATGGGTGGAGAGCCGAGAAAAGCAATCCAAAGATGATTTGCCATTAGACATTTGAACAAGAGTTGAAGACTGTGCTTGCTAATTTAATCTACATTTTATGTATGGAGGTTGTGCTGCAATATTCTGTTCAGAGAACATGTGCTTTTTATATAACCATCTTCAAAACAAAGAGTACAAAATTTATGTTTCAGACTGGAGATGGGAAATAAAATATCCCGTAAAACTTAAAAAAAGAAAGAAAGAGATGAAGTTTTGGCTCCACATTTTGGAAAGGATTCAAACATTTGGAATAGGTTCACCAAAGAGCAATGAAGATCATTAGAGATCTTTAAGGTAAGGTTTAAGAAGAAAGATTTGTTTATTAGATGTATATCTAACATAACAGGAAAAACCAGGTGTACAGGTACAACATGGCGGTACCTGGCTTGGCTGCAATACTTGTAGGACAGATTTATTGTCAAATGTAAGAGTATCATAAGTAAGGCATATATTTTCACTTGACACAAGAATGTGGCAAAGTTATAGCAGAGTTTTGAGTCGCTGCTGGAAAAAAGTATTTCTTTTTTAAAAGCCCGCATAATATAATACCTGTGAGTGGCAACAATTGTGAGTAGCAACAACTCTTGTTGTTTGAGGATCATCTGATTTTGCAGCCCTGACTGGATTGTATTACAGCTATTGCAAGCAAGAACACAAGAGCAACTATACTAAATCAGATCAGGGCCCATTTTATTTACCATGTTACAGTGACCAGCTATTATCTTCATAAAAGGCAGGAAATGAAGCCATATCCTTCTTCTATCATTGTTCCCTTGCAGTTGATATTTTAATGGATAATGCCTTTCCCTGGACAATACTTGGTTTTTCACTACAGTACTGTCAGAATTAGATTTGTTCTTTAAGAATTTATCCAATCACTTTAAAACCATTCATTATTAAAGATCATAAATTCCACAAATTATTTGTTATGTTATTTGTTATGTTTCTTTGCTTCTTTTGCCTATTCTAAATCTCCTTCTAGTCTTCTTCCAAAACCATGGTTTATAGTAGAGGTGTCAAACTCGTGGCTCGTGGGCTGGATGTGTCACACACTGGCCACGCCTATGCCCGGTTTAGCAAAGGGGGGAAAAGTCGCAATACGTCACGTGACAATGCCCCTGGTCTATTGTTTTGAGAGGGAGAAATACTCTACGCTTATTTTCTCCATTCCATGCAGGAGTTTATACTTCTCAAACATTACCCAGTTGCCCTTATTCAAGCTAAGAGTCAAACATTCTCATCTTTTCTGAGTTTTTGTTTGAGTCCCCTGTTCATTTTGGACATCTTCTCTCACATTTCTGTTATATCCTTTTTCAACCAGTACTGTACACAGTGGTACAGATACGTTAAGATTTTGATCTTGGCATTTTATTTTCAGCCTTTTACCTAGATACCCAACATGGACTTTAAGTTTTTCATAATTCACAGTCACTAAGTTGATGCCTTCATTAAGCTCTCCGCTTTGATGCCACATACCGGGGGGAGGATTGCATATTTTATTTATTTAAATGAAATTGTATTTGTGATTTGGTTGATACAATACTGTATCAGTACAGAAGTTGAAATACTGACAGATGTTATCTTCATAAGCTTAAGTGTATGAAACAGACACCAGTTACTTGAAAGACTAATAGATCTAGGGAAAACATTAGTGGCTTGTGACACTGACCATGACCACAAGTACTGTTGGAGCCATGTATTTTTTCCATTTGTAAAATGGCTATCAAAGACACGATGAAGAAAAATGAATGTCTGGCATTGAATAAAATGGTTGAGAATATTTATTTGAATTCATTAGCAGCCCAGCTCCAACAAACTCTTTGCCTACCAGAGGAAATAATAGAATTCTTTGTTGGTCAAGTGTGATTGGACACACAATGAATTTGTCTTCAGTGCATAAAAGATATAAAGTGATGAATCATTATCATACTCATCATAAATACATTCATCATGAATCATAAGATACAACACTTAGCGATAGTCATAGGATACTAATAAGCAATCAAAATCATACTAGGAAACTAAATAAAACAATATAAATCATAAGATACAAGCAACAAGGCTATAGTCATAAAGAGAAACGGAGATAGGTAATAGAAAGGATGAGAACAATAATAATAATACAGTCTTAGTAAATACACTGCTCAAAAAAAATAAAGGGAACACTTAAACAACACAATGTAACTCCAAGTCAATCACACTTCTGTGAAATCAAACTGTCCACTTAGGTAGCAACACTGATTGACAATCAATTTCACATGCTGTTGTGCAAATGGAATAGACAACAGTTGGAAAGCATAGGCAGTTCGCAAGACATCTCCAATAAAGGAGTGGTTCTGCAGGTGGTGACCACAGACCACTTCTCAGTTCCTATGCTTTCTGGCTGATGGTTTGGTCACTTTTGAATGCTGGCGGTGCTTTCACTCTAGTGGTAGCATGAGACGGAGTCTACAACCCACACAAGTGGCTCAGGTAGTGCAGCTCATCCAGGATGGCACATCAACGTGAGCTGTGGCAAGAAGGTTTGCTGTGTCTGTCAGCGTAGTGTCCAGAGCATGGAGGCGCTACCAGGAGACAGTCCAGTACATCAGGAGATGTGGAGGAGGCTGTAGGAGGGCAACAACCCAGCATCAGGACCGCTACCTCCGCCTTTGTGCAAGGAGGGACAGGAGGAACACTGCCAGAGTCCTGCAAAATGACCTCTAGCGGGCCACAAATGTGCATGTGGCTGCTCAAACGGTCAGAAACAGACACCATGAGGATGGTATGAGGGCCTGACATCCACAGGTGGGGGTTGTGCTTACAGCCCAACACCGTGCAGGATGTTTGGCATTTGCCAGAGAACACCAAGATTGGCAAATTCGCCACTGGCGCTCTGTGCTCTTCAAGATGAAAGCAGGTTCACACTGAGCACATGTGACAGATGTGACAGGGTCTGGAGATGCCATGGAGAATGTTCTGCTCCCTGCAACATCCTCCAGCATGACTGATTTGGCAGTGGGTCGGTAATGGTGTGGAGTGGCATTTCTTTAGGGGGCCGCACAGCCCTCCATGTGCTCGCCAGAGGTAGCCTGACTACCATTAGGTACCGAGATGAGATCCTCAGACCCCTTGTGAGACCATATGCTGGTGCGGTTGGCCCTGGGTTCCTCTTAATGCAAGACAATGCTAGACCTCATGTGGCTGGAGTGTGTCAGCAGTTCCTGCAAGACGAAGGCATTGATGCTATGGAATGGCCCGCCCATTCCCCAGACCTGAATCCAATTGAGCACATCTGGGACATGTCTCGCTCCATCCACCAATGCCACGTTGCACCACAGACTGTCCAGGAGTTGGGGGAGGCTTTAGTCCAGGTGTGGGAGGAGATCCCTCAGGAGACCATCCGCCACCTCATCAGGAGCATGCCCAGGCGTTGCAGGGAGGTCATACAGGCACGTGGAGGCCACACACACTACTGAGCCTCATTTTGACTTGTTTTAAGGACATTACATCAAAGTTGGATCAGCCTGTAATGTTTTTTTCCACTTTAATTTTGAATGTAACTCCAAATCCAGACCTCCATGGGTTGCTAAATTTGATTTCCATTGATAATTTTTGTGTGATTTTGTTGTCAGCACATTCAACTATGTAATTAACAAAGTATTTAATGAGAATATTTCATTCATTCAGATCTAGGATGTCTTATTTTTGTGTTCCCTTTATTTTTTTGAGCAGTGTAGTTTGACAGTGTTGTAGGAATTAGTTATTTAGCAGTGATGGCATGTGGGAAAAACTGTCATTGTGTTTAGTTGTTCTGGTGTGCAATGCTCTACATCATTTTGAGGGTAGAAATTGAAACAATTTAGGTCCAGGATGTGTCAATATTAGTCAAAAATTAAGCCAGGAGTCACTGGAGAAGACTTCAGTGCTAATGCTTGGAATATTAAAAGTAGCTGAAAAAGTTCAGCAAAAACAAAATGGTTACCAGAGCTCCTTGGTGCCGAGTTTGGTTGTTTCCTTGCAGACATTTCATTACCAAACTAGGAACATCATCAGTGCCAGTCCTATCCTATCCTAGCACTGATAATGTTGCCTAGTTTGGGTAACAAAACATCTTCAAGAAAGCTCAGAGAGAGCCAAGAAGCCCTGATTTAACCCTGAGCTGCAAATATTCTCCTTTATTAACAAGGTGGTTAGATATTATGTCTGATGACATAAGTACGAATTTACAACTCGGGCAGCCTTGATGAAATGATATTCACCAAGGCACAAACACTCAGAAGCGACCGGGGAATATGCTTCCCAGATGAACACGGCTAGCATCAGGCTGATTAACTCTAGAACATTTCTTCCGGGGAAAGAAATAAGAATAGCAATCCCCACCACGTTGGCCTTGGGAATCTTTCCCGCTGGAATCTTTTCTTCCTTCAGCCCGCCTCCTCCCGCGAGTTTCGCAATTGGCCCTTCGGAGAAACTGGAGCCGCCTTGCAAACGTGGCGGTCGGGCGGCTCCACCTTTCAGTTTAGGCATCTCCCTTCTTATCCAATCGCGCGAGGCGTAGCATTTCAACGGCGCAGAGCTTCACCCGTTTTACAACCGCGTTGCTGAGTGGCTGGGAGAGGAGAGGTTGCGGGGGGGTGGATTCCAATGACCAGTCCAAATTAGGCCATTCATAGGCGTTTTTACAAGCTAGACTTTTGCAGCTTGGACCAGACTCGTACAATGGGGGGCAGGAAAAATGGGTCGACCCCGCGTTGAGTCTTTATGAGCACGTGGCGCGAGAGAGGCGAGAGCCGCTGGACTGGGAGGCAGCCCAAGCAAAAGACACGTGTTAGGCTCTACCAAGTGAAGGAGGTGCCCAGTCGACGCGTATCGGAGACGCTAAAGTTTCACCGGAGACAAACCGCCCTCGGGCCAGAAGAAGCCATGAGCCTGGGAACAACTTCTAGCTCTCTCACGGTGGGGCTGATGCTAATATTGTGCATCCACAGGTCCTTCGGCGTCCCCACTTTCAGAAAGGAGAGAGCCATTCGTCTCGATCCCGAACTCGGCAACCGGCAACACGAAGAGAACCAGAGCTTCCAGTACGATCACGAAGCCTTTCTGGGCAAAGAAGATGCCAAAACTTTCGATCAACTTAGCCCGCAAGAAAGCCAGGAACGGTTGGGGTAAGACGGTCCTTATTTTACCCTAAAGGTCCCGGGACACGAGGACGTTGATGGGAAGGGGTGATTTTAGAGATTTTCTCTAAGTAGGTACACGGTGAAGTAATAATAGTATTTTGCACGCCGACGGGAGTTTAGCCACTCCGCTGTTAAAGATAAGCTGATAAACGCGCGGCAGCAAAAAAACAACTCTGCAAGAGGCGAAGAAATGTCTTACTATGATGCCTTGGTAACGTGGCGGGAGGGAGAAGTTTCTTATCAACGCCGTGAATGGAAAATCAGTTTCATTTCTAGATCATACAGTATACAGAATCATAGTTTTATATGGGAGATTCAAGTCCAGGATCAGCTCATTGAAATGAAAAGTCTTTTGTTTGTTGTAGGAGAGGTCCCCCCCCCCTTTTTAAAAAACTTTTGGAGGGTGACTTCCTTAATTTGCTGCAGTAGAAACAAGAGTCTTGCATGGGTGAGAGATCAACTCAGTGCATGACAATTATGTATCTTGTGTTGGCAAATGCATAATTGTGGGATGGAGGGGTTAAGTTTACAGAGTGGGACCACAGACATTATACATTATACAGTCCTCGTCTTACAACAGTTCATTTGGTGACCATTCGAAGTTACAACAGCACTGAAAAAAGTGACTTATGACCATTTTTTACACTTATGACCATTGCAGCATCCGCATGATCATGTGATTTACATTTGGATGCTTGACAACTGGTTCATATTTATGACGGTTGCTGTGTCCTGGGGCCACGTGATCCTTTTTGCAACCTTTTGCCAAGCAAAGTCAATGGGGAAGCCAGATTCACTTAACAACTGTGTTACTAATTTAACAACTGCAGTGATTCACTTCACAAACGTGGCAAGAAGTCATAAAATGGGACAAAACTCACTTAGCGAATTTCTTACTCAGCAACATAAATTCTGGGCTCAGTTGTGATAATAAGTTGAGGACTACCTGTAGTGCAAAACCTATTGTTTTGCAACAACAACAAATTAAAAATACATTGAAGTTGGCTGAAAAGAGTACAAAAATAAAATCTGATCAGGTGTCCACTTCCAATTCATGTTGCGGCAGGCTGGATATGAATAGTCAAGTCTGACTCTTAAGAAAAGAAACCTAGCAACTAATAGAAACTGGTGGAGTGCATTTCAATGGCGTTGGACTTTAAAAAAACAAGTTGAAAGATCAAAAGAAAAATAGTAACCACAACAGAGCATGTGAAGAGTTTGCTCACAGAAGGGTATCACAGATGGGAGGAAGTCAAACTCATGTTCACATCTATCTCATTTATTACTCTTGTCTCCATGAAATCCAGGTTTAATCTTCCCATTTGATTTTCATGACAAATCATCTGATTAGAAAACCAGAGAGATAAATTTGAGATCACGCTGTGATTTGCTGTGGCTAAGCATGAACTAGAATATTCTCCAAATTTATACTTTTGTATAAATGAAGCAATATATCTCTTGTCTGGCCTAACTTTGTGATAAACGTGACTTGTCTGTCTGAGTCAGGCAAGAAGAATTGATTTTCTCTAGGGAAAATACAGTCTGCGATGGCTTCCCATATAACCTAATTTTTCTTCCCAAGTTTTTTATCCCATCTAACGTCCCCAGACCTGGGATGGGAAAAGCTCTTATTATATGGCCATTGGAGGGAGTGACAAATGTTAAAACATGCATAATGTCATGCAAGTGCTGTAGTTCAGGGGTCCCCAACCACCGGTCCCGGTCCGTGGAACAAGTCCTACCGGGCCGTTGGTTTGCTGGGCGCCGCCATCTTTTTTTTGATGAAAAAGTGCTTCCGGTGAGCTTTTCCGGGTAGAAAGCTCACCGGAAGCACTTTTTCATCAAAAAAAGATGGCGGCGCCCAGCTAATGCCGGTACCGGGCCGCGCCATAAAAAAGGTTGGGGATACCGGGCCGCGGCATAAGAAAGGTTGGGGATCACTGCTGTAGTTGATATCCTGGTACAAATATATTTTTATGGCATTTATATGAAGAACATCATTTCATGGTGTCATTTGGGGATCTTTGCTGTTGGCTAAGGAACAGCTGTCAGCAGTTGAAGTAAATGAAAACTTTGTTTTGTGGGAGGGTTCTTCAAGGTGTGGTGTTGTTGGTGAGGGGTGAGAAGGCCTTTCCTAAGGTTGTAACTCTTCTCTTGAAGATTTGTCAACTTTTATTCCAAACAGCTCTCATTGATGTCAGTAGAGCCCCTTTTAAAGTCTAATTTGTAAGATGGGGGAGAGGAGAAGCAAGTGTTTGTAAATGAATAGAATAAAGGTGTGTGTGTGAGGCCTGGCAGTTGTGTCAACACCACATGGTGGCCAGTTTTGGTGATGCCTACCTAGGATGTGGTCCAAGACAGTGTTGGTAGGGCTACCATGTTTGATGGAGTAACTTTAGACTTCAACCCAAATAGTTTCTCTAGTAACTGGGCCCAGAGTTTGATAATGTCATTGGATCTTTTGCCATCTGGTTATTGAGATAGGTCACAGGTAAAGGTGAATCAGCTGATTTCTGTCCTCTTCAGTCTGACATGCTTTCTAGGCATGGTGAGTGCTGTGTGTTCAAAGCATCCATATAGTATGGAGAAAGCTGGTATAACTTGCATCCCTGCTTGTTTGTACCTGAAGGCAGGCTCAGAAGACGTAGCCTTCTGTTGGGCATCTAAGGGCATTCTAAACTCTGTATGTCTTTTTTGGTGCAGAACAAAATTATTTTATTCTGAAGTGGAAGGATATGGCAGAAGTATGAAGTCTAACTGCTAGCTTGAGGAGTAATCACAGTGGCTTCTGCATACAATATCAAAGCAATCATCTGCTCTATCTCCTACACTCATATGTTCAGGGGAGAGCTTTATTTTCCACTCCTCTCCTAGACTTAAAGCTGGATTAAGACATTGTTCTTCTCCTATCTCTTGCTATACCTGGGAGGGAAGCCGTAGTAAGTATTCAGAGAACCTTCATATAGGCCAGGGGTATCAAACTTGCAGCCCATGGGCTGGATGCATCGTGCTAGCCCCACCCCTGCCCGGTTTAGCGAAGGGCGGGGAAAGTCCTGATATGTCACATGTCATCGGTATGACGATGCAAGTTTGACACCCCTGATATAGGCCATCTTCTCTACTAGCTAAAGTTCTTCATCATGGGAATTATTCTACATCCATTCAACCAATTCTAGTATTTTACTTTATATTGCCTTTTATTTCATTTAGGAGTATCAAATGTATAACATGAAGGTTTGCCATGCCATGTTTTTCATGTGACGAATATGGCATGTTAACTGCTCCTTACAGTCTTGGAGATCATTGTTCTTCTTTGAAAGAGGTTTCACAAGCACTGGTCAATATATTGACTGATAATCTGTCTTCACTGGCTACCCATTATAATAGTGTTTTTAAGATCCATGGAATATTAAATTTCTTCAACATTTTAAAAGATTATTCTACTATCAGTAACAGTAATTTTTTTGCTTTTGCCAATTATTACTTCTTGTCCAATCAGAAATCTAGTTAGTGGAAGATTATCTAGTTAAATTCTTTGCTGTGACAAATGCTGAATGCTTCTCAGTGATAAGCCCGCTTGACACAGGTAAGTCACAACTAGATTTTGGGAGAAGATTAGGCTGGAAAGTTTGCCCTGTCATTTAAAGCTGTATGTGGAAGTTAAACCTTTATATAGTGGACCTTGATGGAATGGGCAAAATTCTTGTTATATTTGAATAATGGCAGAAATCAATGAAAATGATATAATTTGATACAAATGAAGAATTTCCATCACTTATATACTGTAATATAATTGTCTTACTACAGTTTCACTGACAAAGAGGAACAATAGACAATCTCCCACCAAATTAGGGTTGTGTGTAACTATACTTTACTATACGTCCAAATGCAGTCTGTAATCCAGATACAGATATTTTTTTTCTGATGTATATCCTTCTGTGTATGGGGAAGGAGGTTGGAATTTATATTTTGGAATTTTATTTGGCTTAGACAACATTCTACAAAACTTGACTAAGTACTTTTATGTATGTTTGTATGAAAAAGAAATGTGAATGGTACTTTTAAAATATGCTAGATTATCAAATCCCTACAAATTCAGTAGCCAGATATCATCAGTTGGTGTTCAGATTTTACTCATGTAGGGTTAACATATGGCCTTTTACTTTGCTGTCACTCCATTCCTCTTCTTTCTCCCCCCACCATCACTGCCTGAGGAGTGGTTTCATGCCACGTAGGTTTTCTTGGAGAAGGCACAAGGCATTATTTCTAGAGAATGAGAATCTGTTGCATACATCTCCAGTTTTTCTCCTTCTGCTGCTTGATCAGGCACATAGTTGAAAGCAAAAGCACAGTGAAATGGGGAGAAAGGCTAAGAAAGGATATGGGTAAAGACAGGGACAGTGAAATGTCATTTGCTTATAATGCAACCCTTCCTCAAAAAATAGGTTGCAAGTCAGTCGCATTAGTGCAACTTAAAAAAAACTTTTTAAAAAAAATGCAATTATAGTTTGTGAAGTAGGGAAAAGATTTCTTGAAACAGTTAATAATGTTATCTTAGATCAGATGGATAAGGCAGCATAGTAGAGTAGTTAAAGTTTGGGATTCATACTGGATGTTTGCTCAATGATTTTGGACCAGTTCTTTTTTTCAGCCATTGAGCCTCACAGGTTTGTTGCGATTGGGAACAATTGCAGGAGAGAGGGCTGTGTACACTATCTTTGAATTGAGGGATATTGATGTATCAGATAATTTAAAAATTACAGAGATACACAAGTGTTTTTCCAGTGAGACTGGTCTATCAGGGCAACCGGGTCTACCCATACATGGGACGGAGCATATTACTTCCGCCTTTGCAGGCAGTCTCTTCCGTGACAAACTTTTGTGTTAAATTTTAATTTACCAACAAAGAAATATTATATCTCCCTTTATTTCTTTGTCGGTAAATTTAAATTTAACAGAGATACACAGTTTAAAAATAAAAATCTAGTTTATATATTTGAAGAACATTATAGTAGAATATACTGAAGAGTGTCATCTATTATCATGCAGATTACATTGGGGTTTTCCAAAAAACCTCTACTCACATGACCCTAACGGTACAGGTGGTCCTTGACTTACGAACATAATTGGGACCAGAATTTCTTCTTACTAAGCAAAGCAGCTATTAAGTGACTCAAACCTGCTTTTTATGACCCTTTTTGACATGGTTGTTAAGTGAATTATTGTTATTAAGAGAATCATGTGGTTGCTAAGCAAATCCAGCTATCGCCATTCACTTTGCTTGTTAGAAGCCAGCTAGGAAGGTCAAAAATGACAATCAAATGACCCAAGAATGCTGCAACCATCATAAATACATGCTGATTGCCCAACAACCAAGTTTTGATCATGTAACCGTGGAGATGCTGTGATAGTTGTAAGTGAGAAGATTAGTTGTAAGTCACTTTTTTCAGTGCTGTTGTAACTTCGAATGGTTGCTAAACAATTGGTTGTTAAGTCCAGGACTACCTGTAGTTTGCTAGTCACTTGATCTGCTGCAACTATAGTTGCTAAACAACCTGTTAGCTAACAAACTAATAAGGAAATAAAAGAGATGAGCACTTCGGTGGCAGCCATCAGGAAAACTGAGGATAAGCTGCAGAAGGTTTACACCAACTACAAATTATGAGTGGTTATCATTTGTTACATAAGCAGAGATAGCAGGTTGTTTACCTCTGACTGTATAGCTATCTATGGGTTCAGTGTATGTTCAGTGGCCTCTTAGAAACTGTCTAGAGCAGGGATGCCAAACTCAGGTGCTTAGATCTGGCCCTCGAGTTGCCCTAGAAACAGCGAAGGACCAGCCCATGGTACCTTTGCCTGCCCTCCTGGGCTCTGTTTTTACTAGTAGTGGGCTGCAGGATGTCGAGCTGGCCACACCTACCATGATCACACCCCCAGCCACACTCGCCCCCAGCCCCCAAGGTCAAACACAACCCTGATGCAGTCCTCAATGAAATTGAGTTTGACACACCTGGTCTAGAGCCACATTTTTGGTGAAAATCTGTATGATCAGAAAACCAGGTCCTATTTAATCACTTCAGCTGCTTTTTGGCTAACATGATGGAAGAACTTTCTGAGCAGAGTTGCTGCACTGTTTCTTTTTATTTCCTGTTTTTTCCTTTTTTTGTTTTTGAGTTTTATATTTTTTTCTTCATATTTAGGGAGCACATGATAACATGCCAAATATTGTGTAAATGCTGTGACTTGCATATTTGTGTCAGACTTTGGGATGCTGATATATTTTTGCATCGTTTGTGTGATGATAAAATGCATGAACTGTCATTTTGACATCAACATGGATGCCTTTCTCTCTAAGTGTTGTAATACCTTTGACTTTTATCTCCCCTCAAAAGATTCTGTGTAAATGTGTAACTAAGCTGCTGTTTATGGTGGTATGATTGATCACTATACTTTTATGCAGAATAATTTTTTTCTTTCCAAAATTATACTTCTGATATGAGCATATAGTATATTTTTCTGAAAGAGTGGAAACTCTGCTCCATATAACATATTCATAATTGTGGTATCAGTGGTTACAGAATCCTTCCTTGATGGCAATAGATGAGGGAATTGTGATCTAACAGACTTGAAAATAACCATATTGGAAAGGCCGTGATAAAGGATTGGATGGATTGCTCTGGAGGACAGATATGCATGAAGAATTTGTTGGTGCAAACAGCAGTGCTAAACAGCAGAGATAAAATGCATCATGTCATCTGTAGATAGGTGGTTTCTGTTCAGAAGATTCATCTTAAGCATATTTAATTGTACAAGGCATGACAATTTGTAAAACAGTTACCTAGGATTATATGGATAGTAATGCAAATTCTGAAGTATATTTACCAAGATTCTAATAATCTGCTTACTTTCCCCCTTATCTCAGCAAAATTGTTGATCGGATCGATGATGATAAAGATGGTTTTATCACAACAGAAGAACTGAAAAATTGGATTAAAAGAGTACAGAAACGTTACATCTTTGAAAATGTGGCTAAGGTCTGGAAGGATTATGATCTCAATAAAGACAATAAAATTTCATGGGAAGAATACAAACAAGCATCATATGGCTACTACTTAGGTAAGAAAATTCTAGACATACAGTAATTCAGTTGCATTTGTTTACATTTATCAGCCATAAAATTGAACCTAAATCAGATGCAACAACCCGAATGAATGGTGGATGGATGGATGATTAGCCTAATAACTAGCTAGTGCTAAAAAAAATACCTAAGAGTAATATAATTCCCATGGTGAATTAAGTTCTTAGACTTTTGGAAAATATTGGAGTAAAAATACTCAAACACACAAAGCACAATCATCAGCAATTCTGAATTCTAACATTGTTTTCTAAAAGGCTTATGGAACAATTTTGTTTTTGGTTCTTTTCCAGAATAGAATGACTAGAAGTGAAGTATTTAATAAAGGATTCTCTGGTAGGCAACAATAGCTTAGTTCAAACGTAGATCCTATCAAGTCCATTTTGGCATTTTACATTTATGATAGATTTGATGCAAAATATATCTGAGAGTACTTGAATGCCAAAGAACATCTGAAATTTTGGAGCAGAAAGATCCCAAATCTCCCTGAAGTATCCTGCTTTAATTCAGAATGTGTCCAAAACAAATGCAAAACAACTTATGACAAGAAAACCTTGTGTATATTAAATACCAGTTGAAATTAAGCCAAGAGCTACAGCTACAGCCAGGCTGCAGGTTATTCCTATTTGTCTTCGATGTATTCAAGATTAAATTGCAAGACAGCAGAAACTCACTTTTTTTGTAAACATAGGCAGACGAGATGCACAGGTAAGAAATGAATACAGAAAAGAAGAAATGTATTTGCCAATTTCATCTAAATGTAAATGAATCACTAAATGGGACTTTGGATTCAGTTTTGAGTTTCAGAGGACATGAGTACCATTAAAGAGGGTGGGTTTTACGTTCCTTTAGCCTTTGTTTCAGACTACATGTGCTTATTCAAGTATGTTAGTTTTCAGGCCAACTTGGCTGTGTGCACATTGTTATAAACAAGTAAAGATTCCTATGGTGTATATGTCAAAGCACAAATGCTTTTTGGTATAAAAGAAAAGGGACTGCTTGGGCTATTTTCATAATGCAATTGTTTTGAGGACTAAAATGGTGATTAAATTCTTTTAAAATACCTTCCTTCTGTTTAAAGCAGATGGAAGTAGCAGCTGCTGAACACTGATAATATATATAAGGATGGGAAAGAGACGTCTGTATGTAGCTTTGTCAAAGCATCTCTCTAGTAAATAAAAATGCTGTGGTTTTTATTGTGGGGTAAGGAAACATTTTTGCTTGAAGAATATGGAACTATGTATGTATGTATGTATCAGTGGTGGAATTCAATTTTTCTGTGGGCGTGACTTGGTGGGAGTGGCAGGGGAAGGTTACTGCAAAATCCCATTCCCTCCCCACCCCATCAACCTGCTTTCCAGCTCCTTTCTCCTGTGCAGGGCAACAAAAGAAGACCCAGCCAATCAGCTGGGACTCCGGAGGCAGAAAATAGATGGAGACGGGGCCAGTCAGAGGTGGTATTTGCCGGTTCTCCAAACTACTCAAAATTTCCCCTACCGGTTCTCCAGAACTGGTCAGAATCTGCTGAATACCACCTCTGGTGTGTATATACAACACTGCATTCCAAGATCTAGTGGAAGAATTCCAGTAGACAGAATACTATACTGGATCTACGTCTTATGTAGGAGAGATTTAGATTCTTGCATAGCATTCCTAGATAACACTCTGATGTTAATTATTCCTCCAATTTTAGTTTGGCTCATTTTATATTCTAATAATTTCTTTTTTCTGTAGAGCATTCCAAAGAGTTCCAAGATGTCACAGAGCAACACAATTTTAAGAAAATGCTGCCCAGAGATGAAAGAAGATTCAAACAAGCTGATCTGGATGGTGATTTAGAAGCAACTCGTGAGGAATTCACCGCTTTCCTTCACCCAGAGGAGTTTGAGCATATGAAAGACATTGTTGTTCTAGTAAGCTATGGCAAAGCCATCTAAATTTATTCCTTTGGGCTTCTCTTTATTACATCAGTTTGAAAATGACTTCCTCATCTTTCAAAGCAGGGTTTCCTAGAGACAGTAATTACTATTCTTTTCATCCAGAAGAAAAGCTGCTTTTAGGAATTAGGCTGCTAAAAAGTAGCCTCTCTCCCACATTTTGGTGATCCCTGTTATATGTTGATTAATTCTATCTGAAGTTTGATTAGTAGCAAGGTGGCAGGCAGAGTTATAGACATGGGCCCGTTTTGTCTTGAATATTGCATTGTTGAAGTATTCAACAAATCCTTGATTTTATCCCATACTAAAGCAACAACACAGAGAAAAAACGCTTGTGTTAAATATTTTAAAAGTGGCATCCATTGAAGGTCATAAAATGCAAACTTTGTGTTTTGTCTACACTTATCAATGGCCAACCCTTTGTCTCCTGTCTTTGATACATTACAGACCTATTGTTGCTTGAATGCTACAAAGTTCACAATCCTTCAAATTAGCTGTAGAAATCAGGGTGTGGCTGCTTGCTATGGCATAATTTTACTTCACAAGAAACATTGGCAGTGCCTTATTGTGGTATAATTCACATATGTTAAGCATCATTTGTAGCTCATTCAATTAATAACGATTAAACAGTTGGCTAGTTTCACACTATTATATTTAACAAAATCAAATAAACCAGTGGTTCTCAACTATTTTTTCCTGACAAATTCCCTTAAATACCTTTTGTGGCCATGGACCAGGGCCCCAGACCACTAAGACTTAACTCAAGGTTTAAATCATAACATTTCTTCAAGCTTTCACAGACCCCTGTGATGACATCACAGCGCCCCAGAGATCTATGGACCACAGATTGAAAACTACTGAAATTAAAACCATTCTAGTGTGTGATGTCAAGCTAGGCGTAGTCAGCCATTGGCCTAACTAAGTGATGTTAGGACCAGCTTTCTCCAGCCTGATGTCATCCAACTGTTGACTATAGCTTCCAAAATTCCCTGACTCCCAGTCTTTTTTTTTTTTGGGGGGGGGGGGGGGGGGGGAGATACTGAGATTTGGGCTTAAGCTCTTCCTACAGTATGTACTGAACCACAGGCTTACTGTTCTTTCTGGGGCTTAGAAATTGTATTTGCTATTCCTAACTTAGAAGTTTACAATAGTATTAGTCACATTATTTATTAACGACCTGATATTCAATTGATTAAGCAACCTATGAAAGTTTAGAGATGTTCGTATATATGATAAATATTACAGGGAAATATTACAGAAGTCCCTATAGCCAATTCCTGTGCATAAAGAAGATTCTAAGGTAAAACATACCTTGCATGTATGTTCAGGAAAACATTTAGATAATATAACATGTTTATTGTATGTTTTATGAAAAAAAGGCTCTACTGCTCTTGTTGTAAACAGCTTTTCCCAGACTATTCCTTTCCAAATATTATAGATGTCAACTCTCATAATTCCTAGCAAGCACTAGGCCAAGCTGTCTGAAAATTATGGAAGTCCAAGACGACTGGAGGGCTTCACATTGGGAGATGCTGATGTAAAAGGACAGCTGGAAATGAAAGATTTATAAGCAGTTTGTAGAAAAAACTAAGCATCTTTATACTGACAGCTTTTTTCCTCTCATTGCGACAGGAAACACTGGAGGATATAGACAAAAATGAAGATGGTTTTGTGGATCAGGATGAATACATCGGTATGCCATATCATGGAAAATTCTACTATTTGTTATAAATATAGTTTATTTTTGTATAAATATATGATTTTTACTGAAACTTTTAAAGTGAAATCTAATACAAAGTAATATATAAGGAAGAAAAAAGAAAAAGAAAAAAGTTCAAGAAAAGAAAAAAATTGAATAAAAATGGAAAGAAGGAAAATATATAAAGAATTGTATTTCTCCTTTCTATAATCTATCCTCTTTAATTCTCAAAGCCATAAATCTCACAAACTCATTTTTATAATTTCTTGCATTGCATATGTAAGTGTTTTTGCATATGCAAATGTCCGTAAGATACTTCTACTCACCAATAATTGTAGATATTCTTTTCTCTAATCAAAGAAACCAATTTATCCATTTCAGCAAAATATGTCAACTTCACCAATCATTCCTCCGTTATGGACAATGTTGAATCTTTCTGTCTTGGTACATATAGTAATCTCATCACACTAACCATATATTGAAATAATCTCCCATGACATTTTTCTAACTATTCTCCCATTAGTCCTAAATTCTTACTTCAATTGAATAGTGGTTTTTAACATGATCTGTATCAAAGTTTGTATTTGAATCCATTTCATTTATCTTTTATTCATGTCCACCAAACATGATAAAATGTGCCTTCATGATCACATTTCCAACATACATTTGAAGCGCTTTTATATATATTACATTATTTCTCTGGTGTCATGTACCAATGATACATCATTTAATACAAATTCTCTTTCAGAGCAAAACACAGTATAAATTACAACTTAACCATATATTTTCTCATCGATCCACCTGAATATTATAACCAAAAGTCTTGACCTGCTTTATTGTACATTCTTTAACCTGTTTTTCATATGTTTCAAATTTCAACATACACACATACATATGGAATTATATGTTCATTATCAGTTTTTTGAATCTCACAAGGTTTTTTTTAATTCTCCATTAACAATTATGTGTGCTTTCTGAGAAATATACATCAATCTTACATCTTCAATAAAATTATCTCCTATTTTCGTATGTTTCAGAACTGTAAACAAACAAACAAAAATTCAAATTATCAAAGGCTTTATCTGCATTTGGAATATCAATGTAGATTGTTTTTCATTATGTTGCTCAAAGGTTGCCCACAATATTCAAAATATTTCTAATATTACCTTGTAGTTGTCTTTTAGATATAAATCCATATTGATCTTCATAAAAAAAATCCTGTAAAATAAATATGATTTCTTATAGCCAGTTTGGGTAGTCTTCTCCCCAGTTAGCACATAGATTGTTTATGAGATTACACATTCTGGCTGTAAGTACTGGGTATCAATTGTGTTCTTTCTTAGAATCTACCTGAAATCTAGATGCAAGCCTAATATTGTATAACATTTTTGTGGGGAAAAGTCTCAAATTGTATTTATTGTATATAGAAATTGGAAATCGGAGCTCAAGTGACTTTGTTGATTATGCATCAGCATTGGTTCCTATTACTGGTATCAGTTTATGGAAAAGATTGTTACTATCACCCTACTTATTAGATAATTCAGAATTATAGGAAAACTACAGGTAGTCCTGACTCATGACCATTTGTTTAACGATAGTTTAAAGTTACAACAGCCTCAGAAAAAATGACTTAACATCTATCCTTAAAATTACAACATTTACTATTGCAGTCAAATGATCATGGTTTATTTCCTTCTCATTTGGTTTCCGACAAGCACAGTCAATTGGGAAAACCAGATTCATCAACAAGTGTGATTCACTTTTTTCTTGGTTTTTTTTACAGTTTGAAAAAAAACTTTTTATTGTTATTTTTGACATTTGTGGCACATCTTAGTTCTTTCTGAGCCTTCGTTTTCCTAACACATTTTTCCAAATGTTGTTTGATTTCCAAGTCTTCCTGCTTTTTCAAAGCAACATTGGTTCCTCTTTGGAGTACTTAGTGCTCAGGGCAAAGAAATGAAAAAGAGAGTTAATGAAGAGGTACTTCCTATGAATGGATATATCTAAAGCCTCACTAAAGACCACTAAGTTCCACATAGCTGACTGGTGTTTCTCTAAAATTCCTGGTGCTTTCTATTCCTTCAGCTTGTTCGATTCTGATGTTATCCACAGAGACTTTATCTGGCAGAAAGAAAACGCAGAGTTGCTCTAGGCTGTTTTTCTAGTCAGACTTCTAAACACAGCATAAAAGAAAGTGGTTGGATTGTGTAACAGGAAAGAGTGACTCTTCCAACTTTTCTCTGAGAAAATAGTCAGTAGGTAAGACAAGGGATCAGCATTCTTCCATTTTATTTTATTTTTAAAGTTGTTTTTCAAAAGATGCAAGAAGATAAAGCAATATCAAGGCTGGTAAATAAGCCTACAGAAGTAGCATAAGTAGGTTTAGTAGCATAAACCAAAGTAGAAATATACCAATAGAGAGTTTTGAAGATGTGGTGAGAACAGAGAATAGAATCTTGTAATATTTGGGAAGCAGTAGTATGCGGTGGGAAAACAGAAAAGGGCAACCACGGCAGCACAATGACAACTCTACTTGTTTTATATGTGCAGCACACATAAAGTGGGCAGTGCAGGTAGTCCCTGAATTATGACCACAATTGAGCCCCAAATTTCTGTTGCTAAGTGAAACATTTGTTAAGTGAGCTTCACCCCATTTTGTTAAGCTAGTATCAGGGTTGTTAACTGAATATGGCTTCCCCATTGCCTTTGCTTATCAGAAGTTTGCAAAAGGTGATAACACAACCCGGGATTAAATACGAGTCAGTTGCCAAGCATCTGAATTATGATGATGTGACCACGGAGAAGTTGCAATGGTTGTTAGTGTGGAAAATGGCCATAAGTAACTTTTTCAGTGCCATTGTAACTTTGAACATTCATCACATGAACTGTTGAGACTACCTGTACTGTAATTCCAGTTGTAGCCACCATCTGGGGAATAATTGGACATAGGCTTCCTTTTAGCATGCACAGAATATAATATAATATGTAATATAGGCAATTCTCATTATTCATCCTTTGTCAGATATGAACAAAGTTAGAAGGGAAGGAGTTGCCTCTATTTCCATGTTTTTCAGGTAATAGAATACATTTTTTAAAAATTGAAGTAAAAAACGAAATAAAGACTCCCTTTGGAGAGAGTTCAGGATTCATAGCTATATGTCCACCACCAACAACAATGAAGTGCTTCTCCATTGTCTTCCTCTGGAATCTTTTTTTGAAATCTCAGTCTAGCTTATATCCTTGTGGGATTTCTTGTACTAATAGTACTACCAAGTACTATTAAGAAGCAGTTCTGCCATCTGCACTTCCCCATAGTATCGTTCAGTTAACCATTACATGCAAGCCAACAAAACAAGACTCCATCAATTAATTTCTCCCCTTAACTTTCTTAATTTGCTAGACCTTTGCATATAAATGTAAGTCATTTGTAACACAGCAGCACCATGCAAATGAAAGGAATCAATTTTATCAATGGATAAAAGCTGTCCTTACTCTTAATAGAATGATGATTTTAATTGTGGGTGTTCCGTGTTGAATGAATAATGTGCTAGCAAAGTAATCTTGTATTTTTAGATCTTTTTGGCTAAGGCAATCATTCCCATTTTCTATTAGAATGTCTTGACAATGTTGTGAAGCAGTTCCCAAATAATATGGTCAAGGTCAATAATATGGAAAGAAGTAAAATCATTAAGGTGTGATTATAATTTAAAAAGTTATTCCCCTGGCTGTCTTCATTAAGTGAATTTATCTAATAATCCAAGAACTATTTTATATTCTAATATACTGTGCAGAAAAAATTATCTCTAAACAAATGCATTTAAAATTATATATTAAATGACATTCTTCCCTTATCTTGCATATTACCTTACGACTTAAATAACGATAAAGCCCATTTTATTTTGTTAGCTATAGATATGATTATAGATCAGAGCAGCAAGTAAGGAGAAATGTGATTTGCAGAATGTGTGAAATATTGAAGCATATACATGGATTTCTACGTTGTCCTTCAAGTAACAGTTATATTACCAATTCAAGAGCAGTAAAATGCCGCATGATGATAAAGGGAATGTGAAGCCACCATGCAAATAACAAAAGAGCATATGCAAAGCTTGTTACACTGAAGTCTCTCCCCCCTCCCTGCCCTCCAATGCTCCTATCCGATGCTAGCAGAAGTTCTAACTCTTGAATTTTTAACTGGCTATAAATAAATTTTCTCCCATTTTATGAGCCGAATCCAATTTCTACAAACTACAGCCAGTATTAATGAAGATGTAGCACTAAACCACGAGAAAAGGAAACGATGGAAAATTATGTTGGGAGATGTAATTGCATGGACCACTTTTATGTAGCCAACTTCTATATAGCCAACTTATGGCATTTACCATAAGTTGACTACATACAATTCATATGATTTTCCAGTTTGTTCTTTTCTTTATTAATGTTGGTTTCTGTGAGTTTTACTGTCCCTAATTCTTCAAGTTCAAGTTGATGGGTGTTTTTCTTTCTTTTGCAGAGAATGATTCCCCTCCCCCCATGAATAAATCTACTATAAAAAGTTTGGGTTCAGTGATATGAAGAAGGAAGGAAAGGGAAACATTAAAAAAAAAAAGCATGAAATTACCTTTAGCCTATCTCATATTCTTATACATCTATTTAATTTTAAACATTGGGCACCTGTTTACATAAGCTTCATTGGAAGTCATGATTTATGTGGTTTTATTAGTTGAATTTCCATATTGATATTTTGGGTGACTATATAATGCATTTGATTTTGTATAATCATGACTTATTGGGAAATATGCCGGCATAGATATATAGTCAGTCAATCTGTCAGTCATTCAGTCAATCAATCAATCAAGATAGGATACATCTTTTCTCTAGTACAAAAACCTGAGTTTTATATATTATTTCTTGTTTCCAGCTGACATGTTCGCACATGAAGATGGGGGACCTGAACCAGATTGGGTGGTAACAGAACGTGAACAGTTTGCAGATTTTCGAGATCTAAACAAGGACGGAAAGATGGATAAAGAAGAGATCCGACACTGGATTCTTCCAAAAGATTATGATCATGCACAAGCTGAAGCAAGGCATTTAGTTTATGAATCAGATGCAGATAAGGTATTTAGCTCCCCCCCCCCCCCCCAGGTGTCATGTTAGCTTATTGGTTTGATTCTACTTTGCCCAGCCAGAAATTTACGATTTAATAATTCTGGTAAGATGTTCATTAAAAATCTATCATTTGAATGAATACCTTGATGTCATTAGCTAATCTTTCAGAAAATGCTTGAAAAAAGTATGACTGTCAAAAAAAAACCCCCCATCCTTTAAAACTGTAAATCTAATGTGGATTTTTAACATTTGTTCTACCCCAAATATGGCTTCTGGTACAGGTTAAAATTTATAAGTGTTTTCTTTAAATCAAGGAAGCAAGGTTTAGATTATTTTTTTTCACACCAATAATTTATTTTCCCAATTGTTTTGGTATTTTTGCAAACAAATGCCTATTGACATCTCTTTTTGTTAATTGTTCTTTTTATTTGGCCTGAAGTATTGAAGCTCCCATAATAGGCTTTGTAAATAAAAGGATTTAGAGAAAAGCATGAATAAATACCAATCCAAGTCCTTATACCAGAGTGGATTTTTAAAACAAAGAGGCACAAAATTGACTAGAATAGAACATAGTGTGTATAGGCTCCTCCTAAGTCTTATATTGATCTTCCCGAGTATCTTCTGCTGAATCTTTGATACAGTTGCAGGTCTCAGAGGAAAGTAGGTACTCAGAAATACCTACAAAAGTAGCACAATATAATCAATCTCAGGACAACTGGATTATGCAGGCCAAATTTTCATTATGGAAACAAACTAAAGCATTTTAGAGCAACATTAAAAAGGGACTGTTAGTATTGTTGCATCTTATCTGCGTCAAATGATTGTCTGTAGTTTATGATTTTTGAATAATCATTTCTCATAGAGCCAAGTAATTTTGTGTGAGTGTGTGTATGTGTGTGTGTACATACACACACACATCTTGTTTTTAGATATACATTAAAGCTATATAATTAGAACTGGATATTTATAGCTGTTTTTCTAACCAGCTGTTTTTTTTTTCCTTGCAGGATCAGAAGTTAACCAAACAAGAGATTCTAGATAATTGGAACATGTTTGTTGGAAGTCAGGCTACAAATTATGGAGAAGACCTCACAAAGAATCATGATGAGCTATAATGTTTTTTGAAAAGCAAATATATCAGAGACTTATGTCTGAGTTGCCTGTAGATGACCAGAATAACAATGGTCATTATGGCAAATTTATTTTGCACCAGTATATACTTTCTAACAAAAAGTAATTCTGTTAATACCATTGAATGCCACAGATGTCACTTCTAAATGCATATTTTAATGAATTCACTGTAACTTGAGGAGTGCACTTTCCATCTGTAGGTTTCACTTCAATCCTAAATATGTAACCTCAAATTTATCACTAAAATCAGTGAGATTTAACTAGTGAAACAGAGTAAGACAAACAGCCTTTCATCTTATTTCATAACATGTACTACATCATACTGTGTGGAGGGTTGAATAATTCAATGCTCTTTCATTGTATAGTCAAACCCCCATATTTCAAAGAACATAGAGTCTACCAAACATGTTGTAATACAACTCATCCCCAATCCACATGACCAATGGTAGATAAAAAGCTTGGCTTTCATCCCTGCCATGTAGGGATTTCTTTGATGTCAGAATGTTTCAAATGTTTCATCTCCTGTATAATGAAGTGGTAGAAGCATCATATAAGGTTACGTCAGATGAAGAATACTATCATCAGAATGCATTGCTCAGGATTTCAGTGATAGGTCTCTACTCAGAACTAAGATCTCATCTCAGAAAGTTACCCAACTCATAATGCTTTTGACATTCATTCTGTCATTTCCAAGGGTTATTGCAAAGAAACCATCACTTAGAACTCATTCCCTTCCAGACCAATGAGAATATGTGGATTGGGATGTATATTTTTTATACAAAAATCTCTAATATTTTCATAATGAAGAAACTATATATGTTACATAGTTTTTTCCTAAATTTTTCTTCTGAGAGGGGCAAGCATTCCTGGAGACGAGTTCTAATATTTTCTTCTAATGGAAGTTGCAGTGTTAAAACATCTGAAAGGCACCAGATTGCCTTCTGCTGTTTGAAAATGTAATTTATGGGATGTATATCTGTGTTCCATTTTGAAAATTCTTAGCAGCAGAAAAGATGCTCTTTTCCATCTTCATTTCCTCCTTACAAGGAAGTGTATTGATAATGGATAATATGAAAGACAAAAGTATCGCAGGGAAGGAGAACTTTGTAAACATCCCCTTTGAATATTTCCTATCAGAAAAGACTTGAGCACAGGCCGATATCTTGATGTGGGATCTTGTGAGGTAAATTGTCACTTGTAGTTTTTTGCTCTTGATTGTTAATTTACTCTATTTCATGTGGCATACAAGCTTTTCCAGTATTTTTGCCTTTGTGGACCAGAAGCCATGAACAATAAATATGTTGATTTTAAAATCTCAAAAGTAGAAATTAAGAAGGCATCACTCTAGATACTTTCTTTTCTAATACAATTAGTGAATGCCTGTGTGTGGGGAGCCTTTCCTGTAATACTTTTAATTCATTTTCTGACAAAATTCAATCTGATGTGAATGGGGAAACACCACATACAAGTTGTAGGCTGCAACAAGATAAATTGCAGCCTTTTCCAACTTGACATTCTCCACGTGGCTTTGGACATTATCTACAGCATGAGGAGAGACTAAGTGGAAATTTATGAAGTTGTAGTCATAATACTTCTGAAGGCACCAGGCTGAGAAATATTGGAACCCAAGCATTGTGGTTTAATCAATCAATCATGGGCTTATGTGAATCCAGATACAATTTGGGTTATTTGATTCCACCTTAGCATGTTATGAAAACCATGGGTTGTAGGTCAGCATAATATAGGAACTGAAGCATTGTGGTTTATCAATCAATCATGGGCTTAATGTTATGTGAATCCAGATGATTCTGGAAAACTATATTCCTGCAATGCTTTGTGTTAATTGCTGCTGTTGTTCAGGAGTAATAGTTTTTATTCTGCATGGATGATAAAGATTGAGCTTGCTTTTTTTTTTTAAGGCAGCTGGCTGCATCTTATGGGAGGATACACCATATCAGACATGGGAAAGGGGTTGCCACAATAGCATTCCATGCCGCAATAGCATTCCATTGTCCTTTCCTAGTGGAGGAGAAAATCCCAGGCATTTATTGGGAAAAATGACACAGTTTGTCTTTGTAGAACAGGAAGTGTGCACTGTCCATATTAGCTGAAAAATAAAATGACTTCTAGGCCCTGGCACAATGTGTGATTTCTATTGGGAAAACCTAACCCCATGCATAATTTACCTGGATAACTATGGATGACATGCAAGAATACTTTATGTCTGCTGCCAACTAGTGGTATGTAAATTTTTGCAGCCCAGATATGCCATGTAGCAAATACAGCATGTGATTAAAAAAGTTTCTAAAGAGTGGCTTACATAATATTCTTGGGGAAATACCACTAAATATATGGTTCATTCATATAACACGATGCTCTGCTGTGGTGAAGACATTCTTTGGGACATATACATAATCAAACTTTCCAACACCTTTGTCCTTGCATATTCTCTGGCGTGTGCCAAGTTCTTCATTTTCAGGCTTCAATTCTCAGAATTTACAAACAATCATAGTCTTTAATTGGGATTTCTGGAAGCTGCAATTATAATACAGCTGAAGAACATTGGATTGAGAAGATATTAATTTTTGGAACCAAAGAATAATGGGGAAAATGTAACAAAATTTATGAACTTTTAAAACAATACTTTAAATTCTTATGAATTAAATTCTTGAAGTTATATTTAGAATGAACAAAAATCCTAACTACAGCAATCTTGAAGCATTTGATAATATTTAAGGATGCTTTTTTATATGCTCAACTGTAAAATAGACCAAAGGTGCTGGGTTTAAATTGAAACACTATTTAATGGAATCAAATTATAAGCCTAAACATAACCAATCAATCAGAAAGGATTTTAATGGAGCTTGACTGTTCCAGAGATGTTTGTCTTGGTAATATTAAAATCTAATTATGATAAATGCTACAAAATGTTACAGTAATACTATGTCATGTAGTATTATTTATCTTCTTAGTATGAGAAAGTATTAATTGATAGAAACCATGATTCATTCCTGCAATATAGAAATCCATTTTGTGTGTTTTTTACCAGTTACTTCAGATTTTCTTCTTCATGAATGGATTTTTATGTCTGCAGCTTCTTTGTGCACACTGTTGTGACATAGATCTTCCATTAACTAAATGTGTTTATTATGGTGATGTCATGACACACCAAAGATACCTCTTCTTCAATTCATATAATGTTTTTAAGAATTAGAGTGCATGCAGTTTTTGTTATTAGGATTTACCAAACTGCATAAGTGGCTAATACTCATTGTCTTAAAGCCCCAGATGTGTCAGCCATTTCCAATCAAATTAGTATTTCTCCTACAGGATAGAGAAAATACTGCATGTACAGCTCTGTTTTTATATAAGAACTATCTCCATGCTTTTATACTGTGCTCTATAGAAGCTGAGCTTATTCTTACTGACATCACCAGGAAGTTCATGTTATAAAGAGAAAGGCAGCTCACTGTGATCAGAGATAATAAGTAAACATACATTTATTTGGAACTTTTATCCTATGTTTGTTTACTTGAAACCCTGCCCCCCCCCCAAAAAAAAATTGTACATGGAATAAAGCTTCTGACATAAATTGCTGCAGGTGGAAATGTATTTGTTTATATTAATGGGTTGATTGGTTGGTTGTGGGTGGGTGGATGGATGGATGGAAGAAAGATAGATCAGCAGCAATAGCACTTAGACTTATATACGTCTTCACAGTGCTTTAAACCCCTTAAGTGTTTACAGAGTCAGCATATTGCCCCCAACAATCTGGGTCCTCATTTTACCGACCTCGGAAGGATGCAAGGCTGAATGAACCTTGAGCCGCTCAGAATTGAACTGGAGTGAACAGAGAATTACCCTGCAGTACTGCATTCTAACCGTTCTGCCATCATGCAGATGGATGGATGGACAGACAGACAAACTTCACACGGCCCATCTACAGTCCCTAGTCTTCATTAAAATTGTTACTTAGGAGATAGAGTATGCCTGTTTGACTGCTCTTGTCTTGAGCTTTTGTCACAAATCAAGTATATCCCTACATGGAAGAGAACCTTGGCTTTAGTGATACATGTGCTAGTAATCTCACATTTTTCATTGTTTTAAATAGTACTGTGAGCAGACCCTTAAGGATAGTCTGGAAATTGCAACTAGCACGTATAAAGCCTGAATACTTCAATCCCAAAATATTTTATGGGACAACATCCATGTTAGTCTGCTGTTCATTCTTGTGGTTGATATCAATGGTTATCTCTGCTTTCTCTGCAATGGGAGCTCATATAGAATAAATTTCTACTGGAACTGAAACAAGTAATACCCTTTATTACTGTTCAGGAGTTAAAGTCTCAGTACTGGTTATGTTTTTAAAGTTTTTTATTTGTGTGTGTGTGTGTGTGTGTGTTTAAATGGGTTCTCCATTTTAAATATAATGAAATGAGAGGGCAGCAAATAAAATGTCCAAAGAAAGACCTAGAGCTCTTTTTAATTTGTAGATGCTATATTTTTAAAAAGTTCATAAAATCTTGCAAGAGGACAAACTTGCAGAGTTACTCATCTGTTTACCTTTAACGTCATGTTCCATTTATGGATAATACATAGTAACGTGTGGAATCCTTAATGCTTTCTGGGCTTGGTTGTTTGCTTGTAGACATTTCATTACCCAACTAGGTAACATCATCCCTGGGTTAGTATGTGCTTATTGCCTATATATACAGTTGCTTGCTCTGCCAGTTTTAGTGGGTGGGTGTGGTTTTTCTCCTTGGTAGTTCCCTGATTACGATATTGTTTTCTACCTGATTGCCTGATGTTAATCCCTGCTTATCTGGCTTTTGGCTGCCAGAGAGAATGTGTTCTGGTCTTTTGTTTTTAGTAACAAAAGGCTGAATGTTTTGTCACTTCATATATTGCACACAGAATTAGCATCACTAGATGTATCTGTGAGAATAGAAACATAAAGCAATATTTGACTTTAGGGCTGTGCCTGTTGGACAATGGACAATGGAACATATCTGGTAACTCTAATTCAACCAGAATAATCCTTGATGATAAGATATACTGCTGCATTGCCAGTTCACTCTATTTCTGGTCTGCATTAGCTTACTATATGCTTCATTACAACACGTTCAATCTAATTTAATTCCAGGCCAGTGTGTCAGGGTATGCATATAACACTGGGCAGGACATAACCCAAAACAGTACAAAGCATTCTGAAAACATACAGCCCATAATGCACCTGTATAGCACCACAACTTATAAACATACTCTCAGCATTATTTTTAACAAACCTTTCCCAAATCACATATGTCTGTATATATTTTATCATAAAATACACATTTTTTGCATATTTATCCTATTTAATATTTCCATGCAGCTGTGACATGTATTGCAACCTGAGAAGCATAACACAAAACGAGGGATAACAATGTGTGATTTGCACAGTATCTCAGAGGATGAGAGCTAGATGTGTTTGCTTTAAAATGTGGCACTCCTATGCCATTAATCCCTAACAATTGTAGTCAATGTCAGAAAACAAATTTTCACATAGCCGTGATACCAACATCCATTAACAAACATTTCTGGATGAAAATAATAAGATAAAATGTTTAAAAGCCATCTAAAACAAAGCCCATTATGAATTCTAGTGCTACAAGTGATTTTTGGAGGGAGGAGGGGGGATATTGGGAATATCTGTTCTGTATTTATTGCAAATCACTCTGGGTGATCCTAAGTAAGCTTGAATTCCCATTTTGTATACTGTAGTACACTTTCATTTAAAAAAACAACAACAAAATGATCTCTATCCAATTTTTTTCTTAATAATGTAGCTTTGTTTTATAAAGGTCCTGTAATACGCCGAGTAGAATGCGGGAGAAATGTAATTCACAATAATCCGAATTGGAATATAGATTAGGATGATGCTTCACTCCAGATATTGATTCACTCTCATTGATGAGTGCCAAAGGAATCACACAGGGCACATCACCTCAGCTCTTAATACTAGAGCTAGATCTAATTCAAAACACAAACAGGGTGGGTTTTTTTAATGTACTGAATAAACAAAATTTAAAAGAAGCCAAACACAGTATTTTGATGTGAGTAATACTTTGTTGGGAATTACTTGGATATATGTAATGGGAATGGCCTTTAGGGAGAAGAGAGAAATGGAAAAAAAGAGAAGAAAAATAGCAAATGTCAGTGAAACATAATTGTCTTCCTAAAGTGAGGAGTAGGGAGAAAAATGAAAGCTGATCTCAGGAACCTTTACCCTTAGCCAGACAATTGCTATGCTCAGTGTTCAAAAAAAAATGTCCATCATATGTGCTACCATTTAAATACAATCTGGTAAGACACTACTTTCTTCTCACAAATTCAACTTGAAATCATTTCCTCATGATACTGCTGCGTGCTGATAAGAAGTAGAGGAAGAGCAGGGGTCTGCAGGAGACAATGGGAGATGGTAGTTATAATAAATGTAACTAAATAGTCTTTCCTCACTTTCAGTAATCATGGCTCAGAGATGTTTTCTTTATTTGCTCCCTAACCCATAAGCAAAACAGCCATAAGTTGTCTGTAGTTGTGCTGTTGTTAAAGTAGTGTTTTCCTTGTAAGCCAAGAGCAGCCAGGACCATCTTTGAGATATATAAAATCCATCATGCTTCACTATGTATAATGGCAGATGTGAATTTCAGGTATGAAATCAGGTGATAAGTAGTAGATGGTACCAAAGCAGCAATAAACTGAGGGACATGATAAAATAATGTACAGTGCCTATAATAGAAGATTTCACATCAGAGAACCGTTTTCTTCTTGCCTCATTGGTATGTGCATTGATTGATTATGTGCTACCAAACTAGCAGTTAACTCCTAGTGGCCACATAAATAGATTTTCTTTATGATGACCAATTCCCTAGCCTGGACTTTCAGTTCTTTCAATGGAGCATAAAGCAGAGTCATGCAAGACTTATGAGTTTGCAAGCTCGTGTAATTCAAGTGGAGAGATAAGAAAAACTAGATGACTAGCCACTGTCAATGGAAAGATCAAGTCTAAAGGTATACTGGACTCGAAGTGTTCCCATCCTAGACAACATAAATGTTCACTAAGCCGGGTAGGAATTGTGGGAACTACAGCCCATCTTGTATGAAATGTATTGAGTATGGGAAAGAGCAAGTTAATTTTTAAGGTAGCATTTAAAGTCAGCAAAAAGTGCTCGAAAAAAACATTCCAGAAACATCTACTGACACTAACTATAGAAGACATATAGTTTCCTGTAATTAGTGTGCACCCTTTAGATGTGGCTAATTACCTCTAATCAATTAATTTCTTTCTCATTAGAGACTGTAGAAATGAGAGAGAAAATGAGAGGTCCGGACTCATAAGGCAGCAGAAAATTCAGTTAGATAATTTTTCCAAGGTGGTTAATTCCAGGTGACTATTAGGTTATTCAACCTAGGAGAATTTAATGATTCCAGACAGTTTGTGCAATGAATGTCCCTGTAAATCATTTATAATTACAAATATAAAAATTAAAAATCAGTCTGAAGAGAAAGATAACATGCTATTAATGATAGAGAGCAGTAGGCTAGAATTGGAAGCCTAGGCCTTTTAAATTAGGGACATTCTGGTGGCAGACCTTGGCACCTCACAGGGATTCTACTGGAAATTCAGAACTATAGGCCTTCATCAAATTAAGTCATTAACCCAAAGTAGAGTTCATATTTTCTCCACAAATAAGCAAGATTTCACTACCACCAGGAAAAGTCTAATCTTGTCTAACTAAAAGTATAGTTTATTTCTGTTCTTCTCAAAACCTAAGTTATTTAAAGGAAGCACATTTCAGATTATTCTGATTAACTGTCAACAATATATACAGTTGCACATGCAGTAGAATGGGGGATGGGGGAAGGTCCAAAGCCTTTTACATTTGTCATAGTTCCTGGACCCCTTTTGAGTATGCCACTTTTTGATGGCATAGTTGATGAACTATTGTGAACATTGCTGCTTCTCACACTTTGAGATGGAATACCTATAACCATTGTCTTCAGACAACACTGGCTCCTTCAGCCAAGAAATGGAGATAAGCACCGTGTCCTAGAGTCAGACATAACTGACAGAGAAACCTTTACCTTTATTTTAAGGGTGACATGATAGCAGTATTCCAATATTTCAGGGCCTGCCACAAAGACAAGGGGGTCAGCTTATTTTTCAAAGCACCAGAGGACAGGACAAGAAGCAATAGGTGGAAACTAATCAAGGAGAGAAGCAACCTAGAACCAAGGAGACATTTCCTGACAGAACAATTAATCAATGGATCAACCTGCCTCCAGAAGTTGTGAATGCTCCAACACTGGAAGTTTTAAAGAAAAGATTGAATAACCATTTGCCTGAAATGGTATAGGGTTTCCTACCTAAGCAGGGTGTTGGACTAGAAGACCTCCAAGGTCCCTTCCAACTCTGTTATTCTATTCTGTTCTATTCTTACACATGAAGTTTATAGTGTGGATCCTAAAATAAGCTTAACATAATAAGCAATAACCACAGCAACAAGTGTGAAACCTCTATCTCTAAAATCTATATTGGCATTTATAA